TGGCTAGACGTAGAACAGACACTTTGCAATAATATAATGATCTCGGACCTTCCATTCATTAGCTCAAACATAAAACGACAGGAATGCTTTAAAAGCATCAATATCAGCTCCTCTCTGACAGCTTGGTGGGAGTTTCTTAAAATGACAGAGTCTTCACTAATCCCATGTAAACGTACACCCATCTGGAACAACCCTGACATCCTACAACAGAATAAGATGATAAACTTCCCAGGTTGGAGTTGTAAAGGAATTGAATATTTGGAACATACGTATATATGAAGAAGTGGACTACATCCCATTTAACAGATTAATAACACAATATGGGATTGATAAGAATACATTTTTAGAATATCAACAAATTAAATCTATAACCAAAAATAAATTTAACCTTAATAACACTAGGATTGAAATGTCAACAAGTGTATTAGAATTCCTTAATCTTAACCCTCCCAAATTACTATCTAAGGTTTATCAGAAACTCAGTAAAATAGATGAATCTATATCTCTTCCCATTGTAAAATGGGAGACAGACTTGTCAGTTAATTTTGACCAAAACTTTTGGTCGCAGATCTGTCTGAGAACTTTTAAGATGATTAAAAACTCGAATTTACAACCAATACAATACAAAATCCTTCATAGAGTACACTATACAGGTCAACAGATGTTCAAGATGGGTTTCGCATCATCTAATATTTGCTCACAGTGTACAGACAATATTCCTGACAATTACATCCACGCATTTTGGTTCTGTCCACCTGTTCAGAGGTTTTGGTACCAGATATGTGAAGACTTATCAAAGTGTCTGAGATGTAATATTCCATTCTCTCCGTCAGTTTGCTTATTGGGCCACTTAGATGATGTCACCTTGGAGACAAAATCAAGTCATATTATTCTCACTGCCTTATGTATAGCAAAAAAAACTATACTCATGAATTGGAAAAATAAAAATACACTTAGCATTAAACAGTATAAAGACCTTCTGTTGGATTACATCAGTCTTGAGACAGCCTGTACCCCCACATCGGACTATTCTCTCTGTACTTCTTTAATCGGCTCCAACACGTAGTGGAGGTGGGTGGTCCCCTTTGATTCTGTCCCGTGGGGCATGGTGGTCGGTGTGGGTGGGGTGTCGGGGCTGGGGACATGGGGGGGGTCATGGGCCTGGAGCGGTGGCGCCCGACTGGGGAGGTGGCTCTGGTGGTTCTGGGTGATGGCCTGTGCTGGCTGCATGCGGGCTTCTGGGTGGTCTGTACCGGCGGACATGGGTTACTGGCCTGGTGACCTGGCTGTCCCTGGGTGGGTTTGGGGTGGATGCGGGCACGGGTTCTGGGGTGGTATCGCTCCTGGGCGGGGTTCCCGGCTGGGTCCGGGGGTCTCGGGCCTTGGCGGGTATGTTGCCAGGGTCTTGGGCCGGCGAGTGCACCGGCGCCCGGCCCTGGCCTTGGGGCCTTCGGTGCGTTAGTGGGCTTTGGGGCCTGTGCCGTGAGGGGGTGGGACTGTTGATGGGGGGGGGGGGGTGTGGGGGGGGACAGGCGGGCTCAACCTGGACGTCCTCTTGCCTGGCGGTGGCCGCGGTGTGGTGCTTGGCTGGGGGGCTGGGCTGTGGGGGGCTGTGACTGGGGGGGGGTATATTGTGGGGGCTCTCGCGTGGGGGGC